CTCCTCTGAGTCAGCTGCGAACGCGGGTTTACTGGAAACGGCGACGACAATAGCAGCAGGTGTAGAAACAACGGCGACGGGAGCGGCCGGGGTTGGCGATGGAGCAAGAGGAAGTTCCAGTGGGGTTTCCACCGAGGTGGCCTCGGTCGTCTGGCCGGCTTGATCTTTTTTCTCCCCAGTAGGTTCTGGTCTGAGGACTGGAGAAGGTGGTTTTAATACTGGGTCTGGTTTGGGCTTCTCTTCTGGGAAAGGAAAGAAAAAAAAGGGCAATGTTACAAATACCAATCCAGCTCCAATTTCCTTCGCTGTATCTAAGGCTCCTTCCCCTGGTTCCCCTTCCCTGTACCACTATTCAAGAAGCTCCAAGGAAGACACCAGAGGCACCTGAAGCCACCCTTGCATCTACAGAAGAAGTCCAGACAACCTGCAGCTGGCAAATCTGGAAATGTAACCCCTGCTTCGGTTTTTCTCAACGTAGGCTTTGCAGTAAACAGCAGTCCTTTACGGAAAAGGCACATAAATACGGTATAAAAGGTGGGTGGTTTTTTTTCAGAAACTGCTGCTGAAAATAGATTTTTTTTTCTGGACAGAAATTACAGAAGAAGAAAAAGTACTTTAGTTGGGTTCTGCCTGAAAGGAGCCTGGGGTTGTACAAGGCATCACCAACCTGCGCCCAGCCCCTGCCGCTGTTCTTCCTCTTTGTAAAATGGGGAAACGACCCCCCGAGCGATGACAGGCTGTTCTTCTATGCATGCCATGGGTCATGTTTCTTTTTCCACTTGTTATTTCTCAACTCCATCCCTCTTCGGCACATCAGGCCAAAGGACACAATCCCCCCCCTTTTTTTGTTCTAAATTTCAGCAAAGAGCCCTTTTCCTAAAAGAGAGGAACCCCAAAAGGGATCAAAGCGCAGCTGCCACCGAAGAACAGCGCCATCACCTCTTGATGGGCTACACCTATTGAGGAGGGCGGGAAAAGCACGGCAAAATACACACGTATCAAACCAAACCCCAAATATTGTGTACAGAGGAGTCCCTGTGCTTCTCCTGTGATTAGCAACAGACTTTGCTCACCTGCCACGACCACTGCGCAGCTCCCGAAGGTCTGCTGCAGCTCCCTTCAACACTAATTCCCACGTCTTTGGAATAAAATACGAGCAAAGACCCTAGAAGACCCTCTCCCACCTCCGATATGACAAGAAGATGTAGATAGCAAGATCTTGCCTAGGAAAACGCGAGATGGATGAGACGGGTATCTGAGATGTCAACTCATCTGAGATGCGACAACTCTGCGAGCCGGGTGAGATGGGTACCACTCAACGTCAACCACAGACGGCAGGGACGCGATGGTCCGGCTCTGGATGGACACTGCGAGGAGGTCAGCGTCACCCGTCCTTGGGGAGGGAGCTCGGCTCCAACAATGCCAAATGCCCTGAGGGTCTCTGAGCACTGAAGGAACGGCAAACTCCTTCAGGACACTGACACAACAGCAAAAAGTAATTCTGGAAAAGCCAGAGGCACAAATCCTGCTGTTCAGGTTAGGGAATCGAAGGCCAACCAACCCCAAACCATCAAAATTCAGGCAGAACTGAAGCAGGATGGCTTTCCTCGGTCTTTCCCAGCTCCGCGGGCTTTCCATTGGGGGCTTACTCAAGAGATACGCTGAAGAAAAACGGTTTCTGGAGGAGAACCCATCCGAAGCCGCTTGGAGGATCAAGTCCCATCTCGAGGACTAGCTGGAGCAAGGAAGAACTTTGCCTCCAGCTGTCGACAGCCCCGGCGGCGTTACAGCGAGGAGCACGGCCAGAGCAGTAGTTTATCAACTTAATGAGGCACCCGGGGAGCCGGCCTTGGATGAGGATGACAAATGAGGAAAAAGAAAGATGGGAGAAAGTATCCCAACAGCTGATTTTGATTCTGAAAGCTCCACAGAAGAAAAAGGACCCGGGAACGGGTTTAGAAAAGAAAATGCGTCACCTCTGATTTCTGGAACATCTTTTGCAGGCGACTCGTGGAGCATTCTTGACATTTACAGCTCGCTATAAACAACCGCCTGGATATTCTCTCCCTTGTGTCAAATGAGATTGCTCAAAAAAAAAAGAAAAAAATCTGAAGTGTCTAGAAAAACATTCCAAGGGATAAAACCACAGCAAAAAATACACAACTGCGCGGTAGAGCCAGGGGTTTAAACACTTTTTCTTCTGACTGCCCCTCATTTGGGGAATGGGTGAGCCACCAACAAAGGCTGGAAAATTCAAGAAGAAAAGTGATTTGAGGAGAGGGGATTTCAGAAGAATGATGAGCAGATTTGGCTAACGAGAGGTAAACCTTAACTTGACCGACCACCACGGAGATGGAGAGCAAATCTCCACGTCCTGGCAAAGGGATGTTCATCCCTGCCAAGGACTGCAGAAAGGGTCACGTGAAACAACATGTACGGTTGGGAAGGGACAACAAAAATCAACGTGATTCATCCAAACGGAATCAGATCCCTTCCCTCTCCTACATACACCAAGATCATTCCTCACGTTGTATTTAGAAAGTATTTACTGCAGGCGCTAGGCTTGCTCCCTCAATAAATATTTTTTTTAAATCTCCAGCTACATACAAATCTTGCAAAATTATTCTTCATTAAAAATACTTCTCCAAACTCCGCGGGACAGCTGCTCGCGATCTCCTCCGTGCAAAGCCATCAAACCCGGGGAGGGAGCTGGGTTCTGGGTGGTCGTGGCGGCAAAGGCTGCCCAGAGCGGTGGATGGGGAGGATTTTCCTGGATACGGGAATTGGTCTCTGCTTCGCCATGTTTATCTGAAAATAATCGCTGGGCTCGCTGCCATTTTTCCATCTTTTGTCCCGATTCAAACGCTCGCGAGGAGGTATCGGCGTTGGCTTCGCCGGCAGTTTTCGGAGCATGCGTTACTGAGTCACAGTGTCAGCAGAGGCGCTGAAAGCTTTCCAGACTTTGGGATCTGCCATTAATCTATTTTCCACAAACTGTGTTATGTGTTCTCTGTGTCTGATACATTGCAGGATTTGGAAAGAAGCTAAAAAAAAATAAAAATACTCCAAACATTGCAGAATTTGGAAAGAAGTTAAAAAAAAAAATACTCCAAACACTGCAGGATCTGGAAAGAAGTTTTTTTAAAAAAAATCCTCCAAACATTGGAGGATTTAGAAAGAAGTTAAAAAAAAAATACTCCCAACATTGCAGGATTTGGAAAAAAGTTTAAAAAAAATTAGTAATAGCCCAAACATGCCATGGACCTGTGCGAGCCCAGTCAGCGTGGCCAGCTCTGATTTCATGCACAATTACACCCGTTACGACTCCCGCCCCAGCCTGGCCCGCAGCCCGGTTCCTGCTCTGCCACCAGCTCGACCCGAATTCTCCAGCGCTCTCCTCGCCTTGCGCAGCCCGGCGGATCCCCACGCAGCAGGGGCACCTCCAGGAGCCACGGCGAATCGTCCCCAAATGACGCCTCTTTCCCGGCATTACAGCAGCAATTCCATATTCCTCCCATTCATCTATGAAATCTGGAAAGCCAGAAGCTGCTTTAAAAGCAGCAAACGCCAACCGCTCGTTGTTTAAAGAGAAAAACCCAAGGCTATTAAACGCAATCCCAAATTCAGCCGCGTTAATGATGCAAAAACCACCCGGGACTGCAGAGACTCGCAGGGAGCAATCCCAGAGCCGGGGCTGCCGGCACAGCACGTGTTCCCCAGCCCGGAGAAGGGGCCAAGCGCTGCGTGCGGTTATAAATAACGGCAAAACCACCGCTGGGTATCACCACACAGAGTGGTGGCTTCATACCACCCTGCAAACGATGAAAACGCGCGCAGGAGGTGAAGGGCACGGGGGAGAATCCGACCCACGGGATGAACAGCAACAATACCACCCTACCTAGGGCTGTTTTTGTTTTGGAACAAAAACCCAACGTTGGGCACAAAATGAAAAATTATTTTGATACCTTGGCGTGTATTTCTGGAAATAATGCGACCCTATCTATGGCCATTTTTGTTTTGGAACAAAAAAACCCAACGTTGGGCACAAAATGAAAAATGATTTTTTATATCTTGGCGTGTATTTCTGGAAAGATGTGCCCCCCCCAAGTCACTAGCTTGGTTTAAATAAGGAAATGTCTAAACTTCACCTTCTATTCGCTCTGTCCTGGGCCTGACACCCCACCCCGAGGCCAGTCGAGCGCTCACGGTGTTATTTCAGGGCTCGCTCTTTCTCTACAGTGCTTACATAAACGGGCTCTTCAGCAATTTTTGGACTGGAACAAATGTTTGAATCTTTCTGGGATGGAACGGAGATAAACACAGGAAAGCTCGTCAGCGTCAAATCCTGGTTCAAGCCCTGATTTATATTTGAACCAGCACAGTCAGAGCCGTGAAACTAACTAAAAAAAACCCCACTTCCAGTTTACTCACAGTTAAGGGATTAAGTTAAAGAGAGAGAGAAGAGGGAGACAACTCGCTTGTCCTGGAAATACAAGTTTTCACACCCAGGGTGGAAATGCTGTGATGGAAAAAGTTCAGTTTGATGGTTCAGCATCAGCTTGCTCGAAAGGGCAGAAGCATTTCGGTGCCTGTGCCACAGTCTTCAGATGTCCCAGTGCCACCGTGGACCCCGGTGGGCTCAGAGGACGTCCCCAGCAGCGAGCGGGACTCGGGCGCGTTGGCAGAGGGGGGACACGGCTACGGACCGGGAGGAGCGGCAAGAACCGGCAGCGAGCCCACGAGATGCGCTCAGCCAGCAACATCTCATCGATTTCATGTTCGATTCGTCACCTTAAACCTCCCCACCACCTTTCCAGGGGACAGCCACATCTCAGGTTTTGCACAGCGACCTACGCCAAGCCCTAGTCCTGCTTCAAGGGGGAGATGGGAGCCAACAATCTCCAGGATACCCCTTTCCAACCGTTTCTAGACCCAGCAGCAGCCTAGAGACGTATCCACGGAGCAGTCTACGCTCTGGCTGTAAAAGAGAAACGTTTCCAGCAAATTTTAGAATCTGATACAAATGAGCCTCAGGGATCCTTCGCTTTCAAACAGCAACCGTGATGCTATTTGGGTCTGTGACATCTGCAGCATCAGAGGCAGCTTCTCCTCTTCTCCAGAGCTGCGCTGCTCTAGTTTAGCAAATACTCTGAAAAAAAAAAATCTCAGCTCAAAGTTTACAGGCAAAGCTCACAAGATGGTACTCCTCGACGTTCACGTACGCGTGTCTCCGGGCAGAAACCTCAAACACTGCAACGCGGTGAGTAACCGGGGAGCAAAGAGCGGCGCCAGCTCCGCGTTACGACAGCGGCTCCGTTAACACGCCGGCACTACGCACGCGGGTAACTGCAGCTTCCTAATGGCTTTTGGGTGGCTATAACATTTCAGTGCGGGAAGAGACTTGGCATGCTCCATCCTCCCTCCCGGGACAGCTTTTCTTTGAACAGTTAAAAAAAAAAATAATTAAAAAAATCTCCCTTCAAATGTATATTCCTAGATAGGAGAAGGAAATGGAATCCCTTTGGAAACTTTTCCCATCCTTTTACTACAGTCAGCAAAATTTGCTACGCCATTTACGAGACACTTGCACGCTAATGAGGTTTTTTTTCTAATTAATACTGGCCATGTCCTGCAGGACAGGATACACAAGCAGCTCTGGAGGAGCCGTGCGATGCTCTGGTTACGTGCCACCGCTACGGCTAATTGTCCCAATGATATAAAGCATCACTGGCTAAGAGCATTTTCCTGACAGCACACTCGTTTGTGAAGGATGGCAGATGGGCAAGAGGAGGTTCAGGCTTCTGGGTGCTCTGAAATAATGTTTAGACATCTAAGCTTAAATAGAATTATTTTTAACCGATTGCACGTTGTCAAATTTCAATTAATTCCCTTAGCAACACATTGTTAAAATGTTCCAGTGGAGGAAAAGAAATCCCTCCCCTCCTACTGCTGCTTGTCTCTGTGCCAAAAATACTCAAATTAAAACAAGAAAGGAGGAAAAAAAAATTTAAAAAATACTAAAAATAATCAGGGAGGAAATCTCCATCAACAAACCTTGCTTCGGGGTGCTGGTCGCGGTGCCGGGGGTGCTGGCGGCGAGGTGGGTGTTCTCCACAGTCCCATAAACCAGAGGGCTGTGCTCGGGGACCTGGCTGGGCAGCTGCTGGGATTTGAAGTACAAAAAAGGGTGACAATGAGCGTGCGAACAGAAAAACTAGCAACATGGAGCACGAGGAAGGAAGTGGGGGAGAGGAGAACAGGGTGGGAGAGAAAAGGAAAAGAAAAGGGGGGGGAAAGAAAGGGAAAAGAGAGCGGTTGGAAAAATTCAGAAAGTTACATGGGAAAGGGAGGGAGGAGAAGGCAGCAGGGAAAGGGGGAAAGAGAGACGATTACTGTTACCAACAGCAAGAAAGAGACAGCACAGCACAGTTATTATCACACTTCATTCCCCAAATGCTTCTTCCAAGA